TCTTAAGTTCCACCGCAATTCGTCAATGTTATTGTAAGGATGAAGTGCGTGCATTTGTGTTAACAGTTTGACGAATAGTAAAGGGTTATTTTAACTTCCATCTGTGTGGTATTCTTTTACGCCTACGCGAGAAGTCAGCAGGTTTCCTCGTATGATCATTTTAACTGCATGTTAGCTAAAAGGTTTAGATCTTACAGTACTTCCCAGAGCAATTACAACAGAGTTTCTTCCGGAGTCTGAAAAGGAATAGTACACGAAAACTGTTCGTCTTAGGAGGCCTTGGATGGTGAAAAGAAGAGAAGAGGGTCTTTGCCTTTGTAGCAGCTAGAGTCGTCATGCATTTGGTGGTGCGATCTACAGCAGTAGGTTATAATCCAGGTAGGTGTGTATAAGATGAGTGTTCTTAACGGTGAAAGTAGCGTTAGTTCCCAGGTAGCGATATCCAATCCAGGCAACACACGATATAGGTAAATATTGTTACGAATTTGGTATTTAAAAAGCTAATGTTAGTTTAATTATAAATTAAATGGTTTTATTTCTCGCGCAGTGCAGCGCTTGACGAATATTAAAAGAAAGCTAAGCCGGAAAATTGAAAATACAAGAGCGCGTGCATTAAATAAATAAATCTCTCTTTTTGATTTCGAGAAAGTACTCGAAAATTCTAGCGCGTGATTTTAAAATCTTATAAAAGGAGGAAACATCTCAGTGCGTGTAGTTGCTTAGTTGTTGTTGTTTAGAAACTGCTCCTGTTTGATTGTAGCGAATTCGCGGATTGGTTTCTTTAGCGTTTTGATTACGTTCTATTGGACATTTGAGTAGTTTAAAAATAACTACTGTGGATATTGTAATATGCACGATAATTTGAGAAAATTTAAGCATTTTTGTTGTGATAATAATAAATTTTTGTTCATTTTTCATCGGACTTGTGCATTCTTTTCGTAACGACCCGTACGCACGCAAAAATATACAGAATTTACTTCGTGAAGCGTAACATGTAGTTTGACTATGTAAAGGTAAGGAAGGAAACCACATGTCAGGTGACATATCCTTCTTGCCGTAGAAGATTTGCAGCGTATGGACGAATGAAAAAAATCCTCCACAAAAATTTCATAATTTAGAAGCGAAGCGCAATTTTCCAGTAATATTGGCCTCTGTCTTATTGCAAAATTTCGCATTAAGATTGTTAGGTATTCTTTTATTCAGTTTTCAAGTATGATGCAAATTTTCATTGCGGATGAAGTAAGCGGCACCAGTGATAATCCACAAAAACTTGTTTCGCAAGACTTGCAATTTCTTTAGTTCATTTTCTTTAGCACTTGTTCATTCTAGTGACGCGTAAAAAAAGATCATATGGATGTGTACACGTAACTAACGGGCAAATATGAGTCTGAATCAAGTAATGAAAAAAATTTTCGAATGACAGAGTATGGATTTTCTGCGTGCGCTGTTTATGTGCGTATGCCATGCGAAGGATTGATTCAACTAAAATCCTAAGTATTTTGCCAATTGTTCATTCGAAGAAGCGGAGAGCAGCCGGATTTATTTTGAAGTTGTCAGAGATGATATCTCAAGTTGTCTGTTCTAAAGGATGCGTGTCCATAAAGCAACTGTCTTAAGCCCCTTCAAGAAATGAATAATATTTCAATGAATTGAAATGAATCAATTTGATTTGCGATGAAGGGAAATGGTTGATATTAAACAAAATGGCACAATTGAATCAAGGGCTGCATGCATTTGGACTCCGTCTCTCCTGAGCGCTGAGCGTCGCCTGGGATATTCATAGACCTGACTGTGCTGTCTTACAGTGTTAATAGTCATCCTGGCAGAAAGGATTATTTCATCCATATATAAATATTACATGGGCTTACAAGGCTTGTGTATAAACATGCATATGTTAATTATAAACATTGTCTTGTATAAAGTTACATGAGATACTAACATATATATTCATGACAGTTATGTGTACGTTTAAACATTATCTCATTTCATATTTACAATACTGTTACTGAGATAATCACAATAAATTTGTATTTCAGTTACACATTGACTGGAATTTTAACCGGTTTACAACATTACATTAAACAAGTATATACAATATGAATAGTAATCAGTCCAGTTACTATTCTACGGGGCGAGCTACTTTGCTAATGTTGATTTTCAATTGCTGTAATATTGACACACTTCTCCAGCTTTCCTCCGTTAAATCGTAAGTTGAGATATCCCTAACTTTGATCTTTTGATACGTCATTGCTTCTACGTTTTTCAGTTTCGTCTGCCCAATCTTCAGACTACTTTCCTTGACAACACCCAGCCCATGAAATTTATTCTTGTGTATGTGCGTACTTTGCCGAAATAATTCCAGAACTCTAAAATGCTCATTTCTAATGCCCCTACGTTAAGGACTCCAGATATGCTTCATAATGTATGCCGTGAGATGAAGTACCGCTTATATGTTGTCCTTGTTACCAAGGGGAGTCATCTATAATATTTATAAAGCATGTAAACAATAGTTTGAGCTTCCTTTCACACTCTCTGCAAATCTTGTCGATAGATTCTTTTTAATAAAATAGTTATAGTCATTTATGTTCGCTATATTCATTTCGAATCACCCAACACAGATCAATACTGCAATGAGGTTTCAGAGGAATCTTTAGTAGTATAGAAACATTAGGTTATTTAGAAAAGTCGGAGAGATGAAAGATTAGCAACCGCCTTCGCCGGGAATCGAACCACGAACGTCTGGAATACCGGCCCACCGTGCAGAATCACTAACCAAAGGCACGCGAAAGAGGGAGATATCATTTATATACTTCCTCTTTTAACAGCGACTGGGGTTTTTAGGGGAACCAATCGCCAAATCCTGAGTGTGGAGAATCTTCATCCAACACCCTTTTACTTCGGGCGTCACTTTAGAGACATAAGGTATTTTTTTGGAAGCAGGCAAGATGAAAAATTAGCAACGCCTTCTCCGGGAATCGAACCGCGGACCTCTGAAATACCGGCTCATTGTGCTGAGCAGTACACCACGAAGGCAAGCTAAGAAGGCGGGAGAAATACCTTATAGTATGTTTACAGCTTTATAACACTTTCCCTTTAAAAATCTAGTATGTGAATGAAAGATGAGTTTACATCTTTTTTCTAGAAAATTTGAAACCGCCTTTTTGTTAGTTTCATTAATAATGATTTTAAAGGAAGCTGTAGTTGTCTGTCTATATGTTGTATATAATTATGTGACGAAGAATGTATCTGGAAAACATTTATTCGCAAAGAGCCCTTAATTACAGAAGAGGTTTATTAAAATACGATAAATTTTAAAACTAAATACTGCGACACACAGGATACATGAGAAAGGTACCAGAGGTTGAATAAATATGGCGGTCGTTGCCCACTTGGTTAATGAACTCGTCGCTTCGAATCGGTGATAAAGATAGACTGTTTATTATGTTTGGTGTGTGTATGGATAACGGGTATTTAAACCCGTTCCAATGAAAGCCCTATTGATGAAGCTATAATACAAAAATAGGGGCCCAAGTTGTCAACAATATTCCTACAATATCCCAATTATATTAGATCGGTAAGAGATGGTATTGGCAGAAGTGTCAATGTCAAATGCAAATGTGCACTGTTATCCTAAGAATGAATATTAATAGACTTCTAGCTATCGAAAACAATAAACAGGGCTTAATTTCTAAAATTAGAAGTACCGGAGCCCTACAGAAAATCGGTGAGGAATAAAAGAAAAAATAAATAAATAAAATAAGTAAAAATAAAATATTTGAATAATTTAAATTAAAAGAAATGCAAAGAAATAAAGACAAATCTAATAAATTATTAAATTAGTTTTAAATAGTTAAACAAAAAGTCATCGGACCTCGTCTTGTTTGGGTCTTCTTGCTGGAATTACATTTTTACTCAGAAGCAGCTGGCACCGTCTTATGCAGAAGCACTATTTCAAGAGATGCCAGATACAAAAGCCATCTCTTTTTTTGCAGCACATAATGAAAAAAACATAAAACTACAGCATCACTAAATATAATATTGATAGTTCTAGAAGCATAATGAAGAGATGGAAGGAACTTTGAACGGAAAAGTGTAGCTTTAAAAATGAAGAGTTCAAGATTTTCTGAATTCCGATGCTCTGTCGATATAGTTCTAACCATCAAGAAGAAATTTTCTCTGAATACGATCCAATAACAACGCGAGAATAAACGTAATATTTCTCTGTACAAATGACAGCAATGGTCCTCCCGTTTGGTTACATCATTTAAACAGTCTACAGGAGCTCTGCAGGAGGAAGACCCTAGTGTGGAACGTGCACGACCAGGCTATCACTTCTAGTACTTTCAGGAATATAAAATTTACTCGCTGTTTTAAATTCATTGCATATCTTCGAAAATAAGCCTTTAATATATAATTGGGAGCTTTTCTTACCTTAAAAGTGTTAAACTCTGTGCAAGGTTTGAGTGCGAGGAAACGATAGGCCTGCAATCAGAAGAGATGCATTAGAAGGGATTTTTAAAGCATGTTTATTATTAAAACAAAATTTATCTGTTAAAATTGTGCTTCATTTACATAACAAATGTGTCGAAGCCCTTTTAGGCCTCCGGGTTTTTTTTTATAACATTTATTTGTGAATACTGTATTGCAACAAAGAAGCATATTGCGTTAATTTTGTGCATAAACACATTTACCTCTCGTGTAGTTTTTTTTTTGCGTTCCTGCCTTAACCCGTCACTTTAAAACCTACATTCCTATAAAAAAATGCATGTTTTAGTACGCTCCACCACCCCTCCAAATTTGTACCATGATCTATGAAACATCCTGCATATTCTTCCTCAAATCCTTAATTTTATTAACGATTTGAGGAATCATTAATTAATTCATTATTCAATTATTTATCATTAATTGTATTAATTTTAATATGGTTGTGTTGCTATTATTTTTATTTAATGTTCCCTTTATTATTACACCTCTGATCTTTTTCAGCATCTTGCGAAGAAGGTGACTGCAAAAACGGCGGAAATTGTACTGAATTCAGATGTTCCACATTATGTGACTGCCTGCCAGGAACATCAGGAGATTACTGTTCTGAAATTGCGGATTGCAAGATAGATAATTTTTGTGGTTCCGATAACGATTCGACGTGCCTGTACGGCAGTTTTCGAATGGAAACTGTCTGTCAATGCTCGAATACAAGGAAAGAATTTAATTACAAGGAGAAAATCTGCAAAGGTAAATTCCAAATTTTTCGAGTTCTTTTTCATACAACTAAAGAAATGAACGTTCAAGATGAAAGATAGCTCATATAAGATTATTATTTTACAAGTGTTTCTTATAATTATAAAGATTGATAATGCATGTCATAAAATGTAAATTTCGTGTTAATACTTGTCATTTACATAAAGATTTTAATTTTCAGAATTTCTCTGGCAAGATTCTTTTTATGCAAAGACATCAGTGGCTTATGGGCAAGTTATTATTAAAAAAAACTTCATAAAATTCAAAAGAAAACAAAATATTCTTATGTTAAAGATTTTATGAATACATTTCTGGCATTATTTATAAATAATAAAATATATATAATATATTTCTGAGCCAATATTTTGTGCCTGTGGAATATCCTTACGCTGTCCATCGACAGTTAACTATGCTGCCAATTTTAAAATATCACGGGTTTTGCCTATTGTCATTAAAACAGTATATTGTTGTGCTAATATCATTTTAATTCTTCAACGACCGTTTAAGCTATTAGATTAAAGAAGTATTTAGCTATAAGGATAAAAAGAATGAAAAACATTTTTAATAGCATTATAACGCGTTCTGTTCCCGGTTTACTTCATAATATGTTTTCTCGCTCCTTTCGGCATGCCATCGAGGTGTAACTGCTGGACGAGGATTCGGAAGACCTGAAATTCAAGTCCCGGTGAGTGCCTTCTTCAATTTCCTGATATCAAAAATTTTCAAAAGGCCATAAATGGCCATCGAATTAAAAAAAAAAAAAAAAAAAAAAAAAAAAAAAAAAAAAAAAAAAAAATGGGGTGGATGATAATTCATTCACCACTAAGATTTGGCTACCGGGTACTCTAATTCCCAATCTCCTTCAAACTCTGCAAATATGTGAACCTCACATATGATGTACACTGCGAAAAAAAGATGGGACATCTCCCGTTCTACTGGGCCGATTGACAAAATTCAAACTGCGTTTTTCATGTCTCGAAAGCGCGACTTACGATATGTATTAGATTTATATATAGCACTATTCTAACATAGGTATTTTGACTCAACATCCGACTTTTTCTGAAATAACATACCAATATTTTTACATATTTCGATTTTACGACTCAAATTATGTCAGATTGCCAAGTTTTGTAAAAATCGTATGAGTAGCTTTTAAAAAATTAGCTCTCAAACTTTTAGCTCCTCAATGTTAAATGTTAATTGAGGAGCTAAAATTTTGTCCAAAAAATTTTGTCTCATAAAAAGTCTCAAAATTTTAGTTCCTCAATATTTTAATATCTCTTTTTTTATTAAACTTTTTTTATTCTTCCTTTCATATTTCGAAATTTAGGTTCATTCCAAATAAAATTCAGCCATTTTTGGTGTTTTATTATTAAATAATTTTTATAAATTTTTCGAAAAACATTTTGAATTATAACTATAAATTTTTTACCACACTCTTAAAGTAAGTATAGTTCTAAGCATACCTGCAAAAAATTAGAGATTTTTTTTCACAATTCTCTAAGATATACACGAACTTACATATTTTCGCGTACTGAAATTTGGCATATTTTTTTCAGCGATAATAGTGCCAAATGTGGTTTATGGATTTTTTTGTTACAGTGAAATGCCACAGCTATTTTTAACCTTAAATTTGTTGAGTAGAGAATTTGTCTGATAACGGTATAAAAACTAGGTGAATGATTTTCTGATTTATAGAAATTTTAATTTTATTTGATTCTGAATTATTTATTTTAAGGCTTTAATTTTGGGGGAAAAAACAGATGCTTCTGGGAATATTATTTAGTTTAAAAAAAGAATATTATTTATTTTCCTCTATTTGCAAATCTTGTACAAACTTTATTCATTGTGAAAGAAGCAGGGAAAGGGAGGCAATTTTCGCCAAGTCATGATTTCGCGCGCTTTGTCCTTTAGAATGTTCGAGAAAGAATTTTCATTGTTAGTTGACCTTAAGAGAGGAAAGTACGTGACGGAAAGGTCAAAGGTTGCTACTTGTCTTTCAATGTAAGTCATTCAGGTTTTTGGCGATTGAGGGTCCGGTTGTTGGCTAAGTGAAGAAGGGCGCGCATGCGCGATCACCCTTATTTCCGCATTCAGGGGTTGAAAACGCAAATTTTGTCTAAATTAAGGGGGCGATAAGTGAAGCCATAGTGGGAGCCCGCGTTTGTGAAGGAGACAAAGGAAATTCGAGTTGGACTCTCTTACTTACGGGCTTGCTGGAATTTTGGACGTTACTCTGGAAACTTGCTGGAAAGGGAGAGACCAGATGTAATTACGAAGAGAAATGTTTCCCGACGGGGAGCGGCAAATATGCTCCCCGGCCGCGTTTTGGTTAAGAGGACTCTCTTACTGACTGGCGGGTGGAACTTACTTGGGACGTTACTCGTGAAGCTTGCTCTGGGATGAGTAAAAAAAAACATGAACGAAACAGGCGAGCCGTAATTGCCTAGAAAAAACGTTTCTGGCCTGAAGCTGAAACACCTCCCTTGCGGCGTTTGCTAAAGAGCGAAAATTTGAACGAGTTACCTGCGTGTTGACATAGGACTTTCAGGACCAAGCGGATAGCCGTCCTGGGCAGCAGTGCTCCTGTTTCTGTTCTACAGTGGTGAAGTGGACGTCGACATTTTAGAACAGTGTAAAGATGAGCCCGGCCGACGTCAACGCTATAAGATACGAGTCCTCCACTTCAAGATGTCCACACAAGATAAGTTTTATATATTTTTTTTTGTGTTTATTCGATCCTCTCACGAAACATTCTAATAACATTGGTGCCGTGACCTCTGCTTAGTGAAGGATCGAATCAGTAATTGAATTGATTTTGAATTTATATTTTAGTAATTACTGTTTTAAGAAGGGTTAAATTTTATGTGCTAGGATTAATTAGAGTTTTTGATTTGTGTTTGCTTATTTGTTAATACGAGAGTGATAAAGTTTTGAAATTTGTGTGAATTTCAGGAATTTTGGACTTTAACGTTAGGCAAACAGAATTGAACTTTAAAATTAGGAAAAATATATATTTTAATGTAGCAGAATAGGTACTGTACATTTTTACTGTTGAAAATCCTTGAGTGTTTTCTGGATGTGTATTTTTTGATTTCTGATTTCTGATACAAGATGGAAAATGAATTATTTCACGATAATCCTATGCTATTTGTGTATCCTTGTATAAAGTTTCGAGTGCTTGTCGGTTTAAAAACTGGACTCATTTTTTGAGCACTTCTAAGAGAAAGAGATTAAAGACTCTAATTATTTTACTGAATGAGACAAGCCATAGCTATGCGTAGCTAGAAATTTTTTTTGTGTTGTGTTTTTTGCTAATTATTTAACCTAGAATCTTGTGAAATGTGTAATTGTGAGGGGTAACGTTAGAGAAATTTTGATTTTTTTGACTTAATTGAAAAATATTTTGTGAAATGTATGTAATGTTTTCATGATTCTCTAGCGTGGTATATTATTGCTTTTTGATTTACAATGTTTTGATATGATTCCAGTATATTGTGTAATGTGTTAGAAAAGTTAGAAAATTTAATTTAGTATTGAGCAATGAATTTATAAGTTCTGAAGGCATAATGATACAAATGAATGAGTAAAAATTGTAGATTTTTTTTTAATTGAAAAAATTCTGTTTTAAAGTTAACATGGGTTAGATTTGGATTTTTGCCTGAGATCAGCAATAGTGATGTTTGGTTATTTAATTTTTTTTTGGATTGAATTCTTCAGCTTGAGTGAAGTTCTAATTAGTTTAATGAGTCAGAGTAATTGAGATTAGTTATCTTCTGAGTTTTAAGTTTGTGAAGAGTTGTCATGTGAGAATTGTTTAAACAGTAGAAATTGAGTTAGTCTTGTGAATTGTAGAAAGTGAATTTTAATGAGAATTTTGTGACAACGGGAATTGTTTTGTGAAAATTTTTGAAATAAGTTTGAGAAGATTAGTTACTTTTGCTCTGTACTCATGTGTGGGAATTTTCTGTTGATTACAAGTAGTTTGTCTTGAATTTGCTAGTGAATCGTAATAGATTTGATTTGAGTTATTGAATTTTCTTTCTTGGTTGGACTTGTTGCTGAATTTGGGGTTAATTCTTGTTTTGGCTTAAGTTTTGTATTTGAATTGGTAGTATCAAGATAGTTGTATCAGGTTTTTGTGTTTGTTTTGGTGGTTTCTGCCAAGGTCCGTAAAATGTAAGTTCTCTGATGTTTAAGAATTGAGATTTCTGTGGTCATAGGAAAATAGTAGAATTTGAGTTATGGATTTCATTTGTGTGATTTTTAGGGATTTTTGAGTTACGAGTTATGAGTATTTTTTTTTTTAGTTTAGCACTTTTGAGAACTTTGCATTTGTTGCTTGCAGTTAGGTCTTGCGTGAAGTTGTAATGTCCTGAAAGCTCGTTTTCTTGTAAATACTTGCACTTCATGGTGGCACTTGACCTCTTACACCGGGGCAAACAGGAACTTGTTATCTGAGAAAACTCTATGTTGTATCTTTTTCATTGTGTTGGTTCAGGATTGTAACGTTTCAGTCAGCGCACTTTTCTTTCCGAGATAAGAGATCTTATGTTCTCTTTCAACGTGTCTGGAGGTTTGCTTGATACGTAAAGTTTGAGTCTGTCATTTATAATACAGCGCTTTTCTCAGCTTACATGGACGCGGTAAAAGAGTTACTTTGTTTCTTTTGTTTGGGTGCAGGTGTTGCTGAAAGCTGCTACTTAGGTTACTATACAACGTTTTGGAAGAGTCTGATGCAGAATAGATCTCAGTTTTTGCCTAAAATTGGGGTTTTGTCTTGAACACTTTTTTTGATTTGTGATATTTTATTTAGTGTTCTAGTAACGTGCTTCAGTCCAGCTTTGATTGATTTCTTTGACTAGTTGAAATTTTTTTTTGTGGACCTAATGGATTTTTAGAATTACTGAATTTTTTTGGTGTTGTCTTACTAAGGGGACTTAAGTTTGGTGTTGTTACTCACTAGTGTTTACTTTGAGGTTTGAAATTTTTAGCGACACTTCACTCTTGCTGGTTGATTTTTTTTTTGGCTTGATTTGAATTACAGTGAAATATTTTTTGACTTGATATGGTTTAACGTAATGATTATGTGTGTATTTGTTTAGGTATTGCAGTTTAAATTTTTTTTTAAGTATCACTGATCTCATTGCTCATTTGAATTATGTACGAAATTTTTACAGTTTAATTGTATTTTCATTTTATGTGTATATGTGTATCTTGGTAGTATCTGTTTGTAAATTTTGGCCAAACGTTATTTTGTATATGCATTAGGTTGTATTAGTATTATTTTTGTGTGTCTTGGATAAAATTCTAATTGGTATTTGCACAGCGTATTCGTTATGCTATTTCGGAATTGATTTTGGTTGGATTGAATTTTTGGACAATCACGTTTTCTTTCTTTCTGATTTTTTTTGTGTGGGGTATTTTCGGCTGGTTCCGAGGTTCCTTGTGTTGTAACGTTCTTTTCTTTTCTAATGCTTGGCCCTGATCAGGCCGCTTCTGTTCTTAGACGTGATTGTTTGGGATTCATTCTGGAAGTTATTCAATTTCGTAGTACTTAGGGGGTCTTTACTCCTTATTTGAATACGTTCATGTGACATATTTTTTGGAATTGTTTGAATTATTAGTGTGTTTATTTTCTCAGGAATGTATTTTATGTATCTGCGGCGCGTTAATTATCTTATTTTTATTTATTTATTTATTTTTTTTTTTTTTTTTTGGTGTGAACAATTGGATTAGATTATTTCTTTCTTCGGGTGTGAGTATCCGAACACATTCAGTGGCTTATCTATCGTAAGGGA